ACCTGTGTTGCTGTTGGGGTGGGGGGGGATGTGTCCAAGTGTGTTCACAGGGACAGGTGAGGCTTCCTGTACGTCTGGTTGGTGATGGAGAGGCGGGTCAGCCGGGCGCCGTAATAATCCACAATGTAGTTTGAGCCATCTGCTGGACCCACGATCTGCAGGAGAACACACAACAACAACAACAACAGGTAATGTTACACTAACATAAACCTTCAGTTTAACTTCAGCTCTGATGAAGCTGCATTTGATGCACATTTCTCCTCACAGTGATTTAAAGTGGTGTTCAGACACCTGTCTGGAGCCTCATTAAGACTCCCCTTTCTCAATGAAGGAAGATCAGAGTTTTTATACAAACTGATTGATTAAGGGAGTGTCTTCATCCGTTTATGGCTAATTGTGGGAGTGGAAATGAGGCTTGTGCACATGTGCCTAATTTTTCCATGAGTGAGATTTATAAAGTGGAACCATGCGAACGCACGGCTTTATAATTCTGATGAAAAGAATGTGTATGAATATTTCTGGTTTTGTGTAAACACATAGTTTTAGATATATAATCCTCAGAGTTTTATATATGTGCAGTATATATGAGCAGACCCAATGTGTCTCAGTAACGTTCATATATTCCATACACCTCATTTCTTCTCCATGTCACAATCCATATTTAATTTCAAAGGTTTATATCCTATTTCACAACTCCCATACCTGTCTGCAAATAGACTTTATCTTATTTTTGCATTATTTCTTTATTTATCTTCGTCTATTTCTATTCCTATTATTATTGTGGAGGAACAAAGACACACTCTTCGTATGTTTGTATACCTGCCCAACCAAACAGATTCTGATTCTGAAACTTCCTGGTTAACTAAAGATCGAAAAAAAACAATCACTACAGTTTCTACAGTTTCTATGTTCCAGCATAAAGTTCCACACTCATATTTGGCTGAATGTCAAAACAAACTGTGATCTGAAGGATGCCGGGGCCACACAGAAGCACTGAGTGGCCCCAGACATGCAGGCATCATTTAAATTTTGTGGACTATTTAAAAATGTTCTTGTTGATTGTCTCAGCTCAAATATTTTTGTTTCTACAGTGAGAGAAAATAAAATCTCTGAGGCTCTGATCTCGCTGAACCTCATGATCGTTTCTCTCATGAACAGAAAAGTCTAAAAATCTGTGATCGGTCAAATGTGACTGTCGACACACACCGTGTTCACGTTTAAACTGACAGTCTGTCAGTCAGTCAGTCAGTCAGTCAGTCAGTCCGTCCGTCAGTCCGTCAGTCAGTCAGTCAGTCAGTCAGTCAGTCAGTCCGTCAGTCAGTCTGCCCGTCCGTCCATCCATCCATCGCAGGTCCCCTTCACCCCTTCCTGTGATGGATTCCCAGCCTCTATTATCTAAAGCACTTCAACAGGAAGGAGTGATTTGTCCCTTCACCTCCGGTTTCCCTCGCTCCATCCATCTGCCTCCGCGCTCTCTCAGGCCATTAGAAACTTCTGGAAGAATAATTCATCCCGGGGCCTCAGAGAGATGCCGCGCGATGGATGGGTGTTAATAATAATCAGAAGGCCGATGCCTGTTTATTCATCAGACTTGCCGCCACCCTCCCCCCAGATGGGCAGTTAGCTGCTAAAATATGAGGCTCCACTGCCGTGTGCCACGCTGAAATGGATCCCCAGGGAAACAAGGAACTCTTCATCACAAGTGTCAGTCTTAAAGACGACATGAAACCGGGAGCTGAGGAGCAAACATGAAGCTAATGTGGAGCGTGACAAGTTTAAATCACTGATCTGAGATCAGTCTGAACGTCAGGACACTGAACTACTGTCTGTAGAAGAGGGGTGAAAATAACCAGGAGCTTGACAAAACGCCTGCACGTTAGTGTCCACTTACCAGTTTTTGTAGGGAGCTTTCACAGCTTATCATAGTCTTTCTCAGCAGATGAAGCATGCTCAGATGTCTTTGTGTGACTTAAGTATGATTGTTTCTGTCTTCCATATGTCCAGGACATCTGAGTGTGCTTTATCAGATGAAGATGCAGTTGAAAGGTCTGGGAAAAGGCAATAAATGGACCCTAATTTTTTTTTAAGTATATTTTTTGGCCTTTTTATGCCTTTATTGATAGTGCAGTAGATAGAGACAGGAAATGGGGAGGCAGAGAGAGGGGGAATGACATGCAGCAAAGGCCGTCCAATGCGGGCCTTGAACCGGGGCCAACTGCAGCGAGGACTGTAGCCTCTACACATGGGGCGCCTGCTTAGACCACTACGCCACACGACGCCCCCAAATGGACCCTAATTTAATAGTTTTCTGGACTGAGCAGTTCCTATGTCACTGCAGACTGGTGTTTTAACTGTCTGGTGTTTTTAAGGATCAAGTAAATGAAAACTGAGCTTTAGAGGAGCTGAAAGATTTTCTTACCTTCAGACAGAGCCAGACTAGCTGTTTCCCCCTGTTTCCCCAATCTATGCAAAGCTAAGCTAACCAGCTGCTGGCTGCAGCTTCATATTTTTGAACAGACGTGAGATTGATTTTGATTTTCTGCTCTGCATTTCCCAAAAAGCCTTTAACAAACAAAAATAACGTGAGGATTCTGTTTTTGTAAAATTTTAAAGAAGTCTTGTGTTGGACATTTTTCACTATTTTCTGACATTTACAGACATTTCTGTAGGAGGAGACCTGAGAGATCTGAGTGTTTCCAAACCAGTGCCTGACCAGTACCTGACTGGGGCTGGAACTCACCTGCATGGCGATCAGTATGAAGTCAATCAGAGTGCCGATTCCACAGAAACCAACAGTGCAGAACTTCAACAGACCTGAGAGATAACGAGAGGGAATCAGTGTTAAAGACACTTTAAAGCACGATCTGAATGAATGAGTAAAATCACATTTAGTTTGACCAGGTCAGTCATCAGGCACAGAGTCAAATACTGTGTCACAACTCCAGTTTCCATCGTTATAATCACAGACTCGATCAGAATGGTTACCAACAGTTACCACTGGTTACCACTGGTTACCACTGGTTAGGGTGCACGTTATAACTGAAGACCTTGTTGCATGTCGTTGGAGTTGAAAAAATTAGTTGATAAACAGGAAATGATTCTGATGATCGATCAATTGATTGTTTAAAACACCAAAACTTCTCCCATGTGAGGATCTGTGCTTCTTCACTGTGTTTATAGCTGTACACTGAGTGTCCTCCGGACGGTTGGTCAGATGCCACTTTCACCATTTTCTGACATGTTACTGATCGATTCATTGATTAACCATGAATATAATCAGCACATTCACTGATAATGAAAATAACAACAAACATGAGTGCACTGATAAACAAATGACTGATCTGTGCTCTTGAATTTACTGTGCCCTGATCCTGTTCCTGCTCCTCAGAGGATAAATCTTTTAATTCTAATGATCCTCAGCACAAACTTTACGTTTTCAGGGGCACTGCTGCTCAGACTGGATGTTGTTGTTTGTTCATATTGTGTTTGGATTTACCTCTGCAGCCTGTAGGGGACACTAACAGCACTTCTGCTGTTAAATCTTATTATCTTCTTCTTTCTGTTTGCTTGTTCTGCTCTGTAACAACGCCGTCGGTAATATGATTGTTTTTAAATGAATCTGACTTGGCTCGGCTAGGCTAAGCTTGGCTCGGCCCGGGCCAACCTGTGCCAACTCAGGCCAGGTGTTCGTCAGTGCAGCTGTCCTCCATCCAAACCCCTCCACCCCCTCCACCCCCCAGTACCACACACACATGCAGAGCCTCTCAGCCTTTGTGGTTTTGCAGGTGTCTAATTAAAAGAAGGGGAGAGGAGACTCAGTCTGCTGATAATAACTCGTCCTTGTTGTGTTAATCATCACTATTATTCTCTGGGTTGTTTCGCTCTGTTGTGTCTAGATCAGTGACAAACAAAGACTAATTCAATTCAGGCTGGAAAACCAAAAAACGAGGAAACAGTTAAAGAGCAATGCTGCCCATTTTCATCAATAGTTCAGCTCCAGGAGGAAACAGGAGGAGGAAACATGTCCGACACGAGCAGTTCCTCTCGTGTCCTCTGGGTGCTGCTGGGAATTAACTCACTCAGAACTTACTGTTCTGAAAGTGAGCGTAAAAACCTTCGACGTCTTCCTACAGACGAAGTCAACAAAAATCTCACAGATTAACTGACAAACATTCTCCGTGCTTCTCCAAAGTTAAGGTTCAGTAGCTTTTTAGTAGCTGTTCAGAAGCTTTTGATCATATCACATGATCTTCCTCAGCAGATGGAGTTTGTCACTGATAAGTAGATTTTTGGAGCACTGTAAGGACTTCTCAACCGTGCTAGCTTAAAAGTTAAGGTTCTGAGTTGAGTCTTGATTTTAGACACAGCAGCTGAGAGCAGTGTCGGAACAGGTTATTTGGTTGCGATCCGGAGCTTGAACGGTGTCATAAGATCAAAATCTCAGAAAACTAAATGAACTTTGAGGTTTTCTCAATTTCAATTTTCAAGATTAAGAATGAATTTTTAGCCTCAGCTGATACATTTTTCCCTCTTACCTGAATATTTATGGACCATAATATTTAAAGTTCCATTATAAATTATTCAGATCAGTTGATAATGAATATAATCAACAGTTACAGACTGATTATCAAGAGTACGACGAGGCAACAAAACCAAAAATTAAAATCCGAATTGTCTTTTTTGGTGACATTTCATGATTTTAAACAGAAAATGTAGAAAAATGTAAGTTTTTTCACTCCGTCTGTCTTGTGAAAATGGTTATACATGTAGAGTAGATATTGATGTCACAGTTTACATGACTGTCCTGATGGAAGGAGACTGATGCGGCTTCATCTGCTATTTCTGACTGAAAATGACCTTTCTATCAAGGTTGTACGTAGATTTCACATAGTGCAAACATAAAACTATAGATTAATTTGATTTATTGCTCAGCTATAATCATTACATTACATGTGTGTGTGTACCTAGAGCAGGGTATCCCAGGTAGAAGCGATCTGCTCCGAGCCAGCCCAGGAACAGAGATAAAGCCACAGCGACTTTGTAGGAGTAACCGCTCCTGAAAGAAAAAAACTATTAGAATCCTCAGAATAATCAATAATCAGTATGACCAGAACAATGATCCAGGGTTTCTACAGGAGACTTCACATTAAATCTAAGAATTTTAAAACCTTTTTATTACAGCAGAGAACGTCATTTGACCTTTTGTGACACCTAGTAATATCATTTATCAATTAGTGTGATCTGGGCCCATGTATGTATTACTGAACAGGCCTACAGGGGCCCAGGGCCCCAAGGAGTCAGAGCCTCTGTATGAAGTGACTGTTGATATTTCTTGAGCTCAGTTAAAGACACAAAGACACAAAACCACAACAACGAGGAACAACATGTCAACAACTAGTCTTTCTGTGCCTCTTTCAGTTTGGAAGTGGGGGCCTTTTACTTGTCTATGTCCAGGGGCCCGTTGTCTCATAATGCAGCCATACCTGGACTCTGATAAACAGCAGAAAATTAATGAGTAAGATGAAGTTTCTTTGTTAAAATTAACAGGTGTCCATTCTGAGTGGATGAGCCTCAACAGCTGTCTCCTGACTGACAAACTTTATAAGTAACGTTTTTGTCTGCAGCAAGACAACATGTTCAACACCTCTGTCAGTGAAGTGTGTGTGTGTGTGTGTGTGTGTGAGCACTCACACATTCCTGCAGGAGATGGTTTTGTTGAAGCCCACCTCCTTCCCGCTGAACTTGAACTCCGTCCCGTTAGAGAGTCGACAGCTGATGTTCGGAGCTGGGAGGCACTCCACTGAAAACACACACACACACACACACACACACACACACACTCACTCTTAGACTACTGAAGCTGTCTGATTCTCTGAATGACTGTCGGTCAGATTTTCTTTCACCTTTTTTAAATCCAACGTGTGTGTAACAAATACTTCTGGTCTAGACTGTATACATCTATAAATCGTGTTGTATACGGTTTTATATTGTCTACAATACAGTACACTACTGTATATCAGTCAGTTAGATTCTTAGCCTGATGGCTGGTGAGTAAACTCTGAGTGTTTATCTAGTCGGCCACTTATTCCAATAATACAAGTGTCTTCAAATACTCATGGAGGAAAGTGTTTTTAATCCACATCAAATACAAAACCCCACCCACAGCATCTATTACTTTGAAATCCAGATATATTCTTTGGTGAGAACTGCTTTAAAGTGGCCGACAGTTTCATACTGTTTACACTGTGAATGTGGGATTGTTCACATAAACATCGAAATCATCACAGCTGTCACAAACGTCTCGTCCGGTGCCTCACCCCAGGCCGTCGTGTCTCTGCAGTTCTCCGGCTCCTGAGTGGCTTCATCAATCTTTGGGTCGTTGCAGAGATACATGAGCAGAGTGAAGGAGTCCAGACATTAACATGGAGTGAACGAACAGGAGTTTCATTATCAGGAAACATCACCAGTCTCTCTGATCTGTTGATTATTCACTGTGACTGTTTTTTCAGCTTTGACACCAAATGGAGACAAAGGCGTCTCAAACCTGAACCATAAAAACCTCCAAACTACAATACCCTCAGCTCCTCCCCACCTCAGTCATCTTCTCCACCAGATTCTCCCCCACCCCGTGGACTGAGCTCTGACTAAACTGAAAAGCACTGAAGTAATTCAATGTATTATTTTTATTATAATTATCATTATTAACACTGTGCATCAGTGGGATGAAACATTTGACCAGAAACATTTTCAGATCTGTTTCTGACTGCACCTGTTTCGAATGACTCTTAAATCAATTATTTTATAATTAATTATATTATATAATTATATCATTTGCAATCAGGTATTTTAGATAGTTGTTAGCTTGTTGTGTCTGTATTACAGACGTGAACACTTTTTCCTCCTGTTGTTCACTCAGATAAACAATGTGGCTGCTTCTGGGTTCATTTAGTAATATATGAGGCACAGTTCCTGTCCTGTCAGACCATATGTGGTTTATAACGTAAGTAAATCTCTAGTTGCAGGCAGTAACTGCAGTATTTCACTAATACTGATCAATATTTACAGTTTTAGCTGCTGACAGCTTCACCAAGCTAGCAGCCGTTAGCCGCCTCCTCCAGGTGAAGTTTCTCCCTCTAAATTACACGTTAAGTTGACAGACATGGATTAAAGGATACTGTCCGAGTCTGAGGTTTTCACAGCTGAGCACGTCTTCGCTTAAAACCACCTTTAAATGAGAGTAAACACAGTAAAACAACAGGCTCCACATCCCGGAGCGTAAACACACCAGCCGTGTCCGGGAGCTCGCCATGACTGACTCCGACTTTATCACGTGACAGGATGCTGCTTTCAGGACGCCCCAAAACATTGTAATTTAGCACTCTATACGACATGAAGAGAACAAACTGTCGAAAAATATTTTATCAACTAGATAAGGGTGAACTGGGTAAACTGTATGTATGATCTAGTTAAATTTAAAGTATATCATTTAGTTCTTTTTAATTTAGTGGCTAAAAATAAGACATACCTGTGAATGATTTTTATCATTATTTTATGTATTTATTGTTATTTATTAAGACTGCTTCTTAATTACACTTAGATTGTTGGGACATTTTGCTCATTTTCTTTGTTGTGCTGATGTGTAAAATTAAAATTATTCTTTTTAAATATTGTCAAATATGACAGGTGCCTTCTAATAATATATTGTATTTATAATACAACCTGTAGTATCTTTTAAATCACTTCTCAAAACTCACTTTTATACAACAGCATGTTCTTCACTTGTAACTATATCATCAATAGTTTTGTAATATAGATATACCTATACCTACCTAAATAATTATTTACTTTTGCATGAATATTATGAAATTATCATACATTTTTTCTAAGGTTTTTTTTTTTTTTTTTTTTTACAGTAAATTGACTACAAAGTGATCAATTGCATAAAGCGACTAAATTTAGCGACCTTTATTATTTATTTTCCAATGTCATGCATGAACTTTCAAGCTCAAAAAACAATTCAGATTTTTCAATTTTGCTATGTTTGTTTTAGTTTTTTCATTGACTTGTGGCTTTTAGTTATTTTTGTTATAGAATAAAACGTTAAACTAAAAAAAAAACCTTTATTGAACTAAGTAAAACAGAGGAAGATCAGACTTTTAAACAGCAGCACCAAATTTGTCTCATAAAGCAAAAACAGTATGAAAAATAAATAAATTACAATAAAATGTGCATAACAAAGAAAAAAACATAAATACCTCTTCATAGTGTGTTCCAGAATAGTGGCTTTTGTGTATGTTTCCTAAGTCCTACAATTACCTACATCAGTTGAAATCGAAGCATAGTTAGTATTTCCGACTGTACCCGAAAGCAGCATTAAAGCGACACTGGTACCAAACTGGATCCAGTTGATGTGAGTTTTACACCAGTTCAGAACAATTTGAAATCGCTCTGTTTTCTGTGAATTAGCATTTGACTGGTTCTTACATCCCCCGACTCATTATCCAGCTTCAAATATAACGACACGACATTTTTTCAGACGTTGTTTAAGAAGCTAAGTTAGCATGCTAGCGGCTAGCGGGCTGTTAGCGGACGGTTGTGTTGCTGTGAAGTTGTGAAGCTGATGGAGGAGAAGTTGTTTAAATGTCGTTGCAGTGAAGTTAACGGTTATAAAGACATGGAGACGTTAAGTTTGGTGTCGTCGCTGAGTTAAAGTGTGTTTTTAAGATGTCGCCGCTGGTCAGAGCGAGTTTCCTTCAGTTTTTAAAGTTTGATGCACCTGTTGCGAGTTGAATCTGCCTGTGATTCCCATTGATCCCATGATTTAAACGGTTTTAAAAGCTCCTGTTTCAAACCCCACTTTTCAAACAAACACAACAGACAAACTGGGGGATAATTTATTGGTTAATTTCACATTTCGTTTCACCCCTCCCCTCTGAGCTGTCGAGTTTCACTTCCTGCTTTCTCAGGTGAGCGCAAAGGTGAGTTTCCCCCACACACAATCACTGATTTACCGGAGTGAGTGAGACTTTCAGGCTGGTTTCTGTCCTGCTGTTTGGTGTAAAGTTTGGGGAATGTCGTGTTGTGTGTTTTTGCCCCTGTGTGTGCTGATAAAGCGGCTCTGCTGAGCTAACAGTCTGATAAAGAGCCTCCCACCTGAGATACAGAGACACACCTGAACGCAGCACAGACAGGGTTGGTTCACAGGGACGAGCTCTGAGCAGGGGGTAAACTTAATCGCGTGATACATCAGTGGGTGAAGCACATACAGGAAAATGAGACTGTAAACAAACATGTTAGAGGAGGGGGCTTCAATGTTAAAGCACCGAGTCGGACACATTTCTGGCTTTGGTCTTTTCATGGGATTTGTTGACAGTAAGAAAAATATACAATAATTTAAGATGTATATTAGATTTTCAAAGCAAAGGCCGCATGCAGCTAAGCTATATTTTATCTGTATTGCTTGATAACTAAATTGTCGTGGTACATGATTCATAGTTATTCAAAGTTATTAAAAATATCAATAAATGGCTGCATTTTATATGTAACATATCCTATAGCCCCCTGTCCCCCCTTGTAGTGGTGGTGTCTCTCTATGTGGTTGGTTTTCTGTCTCGTTGTGGTAGTTTTATGTCTTTATGTGGTGGTTTTGTGTCTCTTTGTTGTGGGGTTGTGTCTCTTTGTGGTAGTTTTATGTCTTTATGTGGTGGTTTTGTGTTTCCTTGTTATAGTTTTATGTCTCTGTGGTGGTTTTGTGTCTTTGTGGTTTCTTTTGTGTCTCTTCGGGTGGTTTTATAACTCTGGTGGTTTTGTGTCTCTGTGGTTGTTTTATGTCTCTTTGTGGTGGTTTTGTGTCTCTTTGTTGTGGGGTTGTGTCTCTTTGTGGTGGTTTTGTGTCTCTTTGTGGTGGTTTAGCATGTCTTTGTGGTGGTGTCGTGTCTCTTTGTGGTGGTGTTCTATCTTTTTGTGGTGGTTTAGCGTCTCTTTGTGGTGGTTTAGCGTGTCTTTGTTGTGGTGTTGTGTCTCTTTGTGGTGGTTTAGCGTGTCTTTGTGGTGGTGTTGTGTCTCTTTGTGGTGGTTTTGTGTCTCTTTGTTGTGGGGTTGTGTCTCTTTGTGGTGGTTTTGTGTCTCTTTGTTGTGGGGTTGTGTCTCTTTGTGGTGGTGTTGTGTCTCTTTGTGGTGGTTAAGCGTCTCTTTGTGGTGGTTCAGCGTCTCTTTGTGGTGTTATGTCTCTTTGTGGTGGTGTTCTGTCTTTTTGTGGTGGTTTAGCGTGTCTTTGTGGTGGTGTTGTGTCTCTTTGTGGTGGTTTAGTGTGTCTTTGTGGTGGTGTTGTGTCTCTTTGTGGTGGTTTAGCGTCTCTTTGTGGTGGTTCAGTGTTTCTTTGTGGTGTGTCTCTTTGTGGTGGTTTTGTCTCTTTGTGGTGTTGTGTCTCTTTGTTGTGGTGTTGTGTCTCTTTGTGGTGGTTTAGTGTGTCTTTGTGGTGGTTTAGTGTGTCTTTGTGGTGGTGTTGTGTCTCTTTGTGGTGGTGTTGTGTCTCTTTGTGGTGGTTTAGCGTCTCTTTGTGGTGGTTCAGCATCTCTTTGTGGTGTTGTGTCTCTTTGTGGTGGTTTAGTGTGTCTTTGTGGTGGTTTAGTGTGTCTTTGTGGTGGTGTTGTGTCTCTTTGTGGTGGTGTTGTGTCTCTTTGTGGTGGTTTAGCGTCTCTTTGTGGTGGTTCAGTGTTTCTTTGTGGTGTGTCTCTTTGTGGTGGTTTTGTCTCTTTGTGGTGTTGTGTCTCTTTGTTGTGGTTTTACATCTCTTTGTGGTGGTTTAGCGTCTCTTTGTGGTGGTGTTGTATCTCTTTGTGGTGGTTAAGCCTCTCTTTGTGGTGGTTTAGCGTCTCTTTGTGGTGGTGTTCTGTCTCTTTGTGGTGGTTTAGCGTCTCTTTGTGGTGGTGTTCTGTCTCTTTGTGGTGGTTTAGCGTCTCTTTGTGGTGGTGTTCTGTCTCTTTGTGGTGGTTTAGCGTCTCTTTGTGGTGATGTGCCTCTTTGTGGTGGTTCAGCATCTCTTTGTGGTGATGTGTCTCTTTGTGGTGGTTCAGCGTCTCTTTGTGGTGGTTTTGTCTCTTTGGTGGTTTAGCGTCTCTTTGTGGTGGTTTAGCTTCTCTTTGTGGTGTTCTGTCTCTTTGTTGTGGTTTTACATCTCTTTGCGGTGGTTTAGCGTCTCTTTGTGGTGATTTTATGATCTCTTTGTGGTGGTTTAGCTTTTCTTTGTGGTGGTTTTGTCTCTTTGGTGGTTTAGCGTCTCTTTGTGGTGTTGTGTCTCTTTGTGGTGGTTTAGCGTCTCTTTGTGGTTCAGCATCTCTTTGTTGTGGTTCAGCATCTCTTTGTGGTGATGTGTCTCTTTGTGGTGGTTCAGCGTCTCTTTGTGGTGGTTTAGCTTTTCTTTGTGGTGGTTTTGTCTCTTTGGGGGTTTAGCGTCTCTTTGTAGTGGTTTTATGCCTCTTTGTGGTGGTTTAGCTTTTCTTTGTGGTGGTTTTGTCTCTTTGGGGGTTTAGCGTCTCTTTGTAGTGGTTTTATGCCTCTTTGTGGTGGTTTAGCTTTTCTTTGTGGTGGTTTTGTCTCTTTGGGGGTTTAGCGTCTCTTTGTAGTGGTTTTATGCCTCTTTGTGGTGGTTTAGCTTTTCTTTGTGGTGGTTTTGTCTCTTTGGGGGTTTAGCGTCTCTTTGTAGTGGTTTTATGCCTCTTTGTGGTGGTTTAGCTTTTCTTTGTGGTGGTTTTGTCTCTTTGGGGGTTTAGCGTCTCTTTGTAGTGGTTTTATGCCTCTTTGTGGTGGTTTAGCTTTTCTTTGTGGTGGTTTTGTCTCTTTGGGGGTTTAGCGTCTCTTTGTAGTGGTTTTATGCCTCTTTGTGGTGGTTTAGCTTTTCTTTGTGGTGGTTTTGTCTCTTTGGGGGTTTAGCGTCTCTTTGTAGTGGTTTTATGCCTCTTTGTGGTGGTTTAGCTTTTCTTTGTGGTGGTTTTGTCTCTTTGGTGGTTTAGCGTCTCTTTGTAGTGGTTTTATGTCTCTTTGTGGTGGTTTAGCTTCTCTTTGTTGTGGTTTTACATCTATTTGTTGTGGTTTTGTGTCTCTTTGTGGTGGGTTTATGTTTCTTTGTGGTGTTTTTATGTGTCTTAGTTGTAGTTTCTTCACACTTCTTGTTAGAAAGTTAGCTATTGAGCCTTTACAGTACAGATTTGGAGTCAGTCATGTCTTTATGTTTCTTTTCTTTTGTTGCCCAGTATTTGAAATAATTGTGAAATAATTGTGAAATAATGTTCTTCTCTGTTGTTCTTTGCTCAGATTGATCCAGAACGACAGACAGAGAGTGAAACGGAGACAAAGACAGAGGGACGACGATGTTTGAAAATGTCCCGACAGGTACATTCTCTCAGCTGTTCAATATTTTACAAAGCTCACAGCTGAAGTGAAGATTATTATTTGTCTTTACATTTTCAAGCTGTTTACCTGTTCACTTTGTGTTTACTTTGTGTGTGTTTGTCTTCAGTGTCCTCAGCGGAGCGTCAGCAGGTACTGGGAGCTCTGGACCGTCTGCACTCCAAACTGGTCCAGAGGGAAGAGTGGACCCACAGTGACACCCTGGGAAACCTGAGGGAGACCCTTCAGAGTCCACTGTTCAACCACATCCTGACCCTGCAGCATTCCATCAAACAGCTCCGCAGCCAGGTGAGTAACACAGTGAACCTGGTCTGAGACCGGACCACAGCAGAACCAGCAGAGTCTACATACACTCCCTGACACGGGTCATAAAGCAGTTCAGCTTTGTATAAAATCAACAATCCACTGACTTTTTTCTGGGGCCCAGACAGGTGAATCAACACCTGTGAAGCTTCATGAAGCATTATTCATAGAAACACCTCTCTCTAAAACCTGACACATTAAGAACATAATGTGAATACTTTCAGAGAGAGTTTGTAATTGCAGGTTTTTTGTATTAGATGACATCAGCAGGTGTTTCTCTTCCTCTGCTCACACAGTGTAATAATGTAGATCAGTGTTTTATCAGCTATATTTAACATCAGCGCTGCAGACTAATGATCGTGTCACATCAGATCTGACATGTGTAACTCCACCCAGGTGTTGACAGCCTATCAGATATCGGCGCTGTGCCGCCTCCTGTCCACACTGTGACCTGTCAGTGGAGCTGAGTGGGGACGTTGACGCCCCTCTGCATTGCCTGCATCTGTATTCAGCTCCAGCTCGTCCTGACGTGGAGCCTTTACAATAAACAATCTGCAGGCCAAATTAAGATAATGGCAATAACCGACGCTGGGCTTCATATTCTAAGTGCTGCGAAGGTCAGAGCTGAGTCTATGAATGCGTCGGTGGAAGCTGGTGGAGGGTATATGAAGCAGGGACTTCTCTCTCTTTCTTTATTTATTTTCCCTCCCTCCCCCGGCTCTCTGCGGATCTATCAAGCTTTAATATCTAGTGTCTTGGTTTGAGTAACGGCCTTGTCGAGGCGGTATTGATGAAATGGCTCGGGATCCTGCTCCGTCAGCCTGGCCTAAATAAGCCGCAGACTGATAAGTTTCCACAATGTGAGTGTAAAGGTCATTAATACATTACCTGTTCAGAGAGAGGGAGCCTGCAGAGGAATCTATTGATTTTTTTTTTCCTTTCTCCTCCCCACTTACCCCCAGGCCTCTCCGCTTCATTTTTTTTCCTCCATGTCTTTCTTTCTTCTCGACAACGTCCTTGCATATAAGGGCGCCTCCCCATCTCTCTTTCTGTCTCTCTTTCCCTCTCTCTCTCTCTCTCTCTCTTTCTGTGTTGGATCTTTGCTTTTGTTTGGTGGTAAAAACCTGAAGCTGGTGGAAGTTTATGGCATGAGTCCAACATGGACTTCACACTTTCAGCCTTTAGAGAGATTACAAAAATAAATACACCACATGGCCAAAAGTATGTGGACAGCTGAACCTTTCGGCCATTATGTGACTGTGTGGCTGTGAGTCCATGTTCATTAATGTGCTGCTCTAACAGCCTCCACTCTCCTGGTTTCAGTCTTTCCACCACATGTACAGTAGAAGCTGCAGCAGGGATTTACTCCAATTCACACACCGGAGCATCAGTGAGTGCCAACACTGATGATGGGTGTACAATGTTATACTGAGACTTTGCAGCCAGTGAATGAGTTCAAAATGTGGCACTGCTTTCAGCTAAGATTCACAGTTTTTCTACTTTGAATCTTTTGTGTCATCTCAGCCATTGATATAAATTTGTGCCTCAGCTCTGACAGACAGATTTATCTCATCCTCTGTTCAGACAACAAGCAGCTCCTCAAACATCTACATTAGGTTAGGTTACTTTAGTTGTACCAACCTCTGAGGCTGAAACGTGAAGTCAACATCGAAGAACCAAAACCTGCAGTTCCTCTAATGACCACTAGAGTCTGGCTCCAACAGTGAGTCAGTCTCCATAGACTCCCATGTTAAAATGTCCAACTTTACAGCAGAAATAAACATGTTTACAGCCTGGTACAAAAACAGTTTTGGTCTCTAGAGCTAATTTCCTCCTTCATGACACCTGTTTATATAACTCACCTGTTAACATTTTATTAAAGCTTAAGTTTATGGAGAATTTAGGGCGTGGCCTCTTTGAGTGACAGGTGGGTGAGCGTATGTTTGACACAAACCGACACACTCCACCTCTTTGACCATTTTTGGATAAGCTGGGAGTTAGGGGTGGAGTCAGACACTGCCAAGATGGCGACAGTGGATCTGCTCACTCTGAGCCTCAGAAATCTATGGGTGATGTCACAGAGGCTACGTCCATCTTTATTTACTGTTTTTGTTTGCAGTAAAAAGAGTCGTCAATCTTACAGATACACATGTAACACTCAGCACAGACAACACCGTGTGCACAAGGTAAATAAAAATAAATAATTTAAACATTGATTCTATGCAGTTGTTACTACAACTTATTCATATGAGTGATGCTGCTGGAATAAAGATATTTTTATGCTGTTTCATTCTGCACTGTTGTGACAATATGATCCTTCATCCATCGTCCTGATCAGTGGTCAAATCCGAACATCCAAACCACAGACTCTGTAAGACATTACATTAGACTGTAACCGTCTGTAATCTGTAACATGCTTCACCCAACAATTTTTATTAAGACTAAAGATTAAATAGATTAAATGCATTTTTATAGACCCCTGAGTTACCATTTGTAACACTGACCATTATCATTTAGTGTGTTTAATACAGCAGATTACAGTATTTGACCAACATAATATAATTGTTAAAACATTTTTTTGAGAAATATAGACAAATGAAGCCAAGGTTGTTGGATGTTTAGTGTAAGGATTAAGGTTTTATTTTCATTATTATGTTTTTAAACCTAGCTAATGTAATCTTTGTTTTTATTTATGTTTTTTGATTCTGTTAAATGTTTTGTGTTAATATTGTTTTAATTCTTAATCAGTTATTTTGCTTTGTGTTTGTCTTATATTTTTATATATTTTTTTTTTTTATTGATTTTGACAGGCTTATTCATCTCCCATACAGATTGGTTACAAATTGTAATTTTGTCTGTTTTGTTTACTAAGCACTAAGAACACTAAGAGACAAAAAAACGAGCAAACAAGACAGTCTAGCAACAACCTCACAAGACAAGACAAGACTCTGCAATTGATCATTTTCATTATTGATTAATCTGCTAGTTATTTTCTCAATCGGTTTGACTATATAATATCAGAAAATAATGAAACAAACCTGATAATAAAGCTGATGATGATGTTTTCAAAGTCCTTTTTTTATTCAACAAACTCTCCACAAGCCACAAAAACATTCAGTTTACAATCGGATAGAACAGAGAAAAGCAGTAAATTTTCAGATTTGAGAAGATTTAACTAGTAAATTAATGGATTATCATTAATTGATAATTGCAGCTCTACTGAAGTGTCATCTAAACACAAGCAGCAGCACAAAGACTGTTACACAATACACAGTCTGAGAAAGTATTATTTACATCAAAGAATAAGAATAATACTATAAGTAAATAGTAAAACATATAGAGGTTGAGCTCAGTTACAGTTTTATATAAAGTTCAGTCAAACAGCTTCACACACTGTTCTTCTGTGTTTTCTAACACTCCTGCTCCAAGCCAACTCTGCAAAACATGTATCACCTCCTATCTGACAGCCTCTCCCTCCTCACCCCACTCCTCCTCCTCCTCCTCCTCACCCTCTTCCACCTCCCCTCTCTGTAGTTGAGCAGTATGCCTCCTGATGCCTGCAGTGAGTTCAGCTTCTCCAAAAAGGGTCAGCTGATCATGAGCGCTGTTAATCCCGCCAGCAGCTCGGCCCCGCCCACCCTGTCTGCCTCCTCCTCTATCCTGACCAATGGCTCGTCTCCGCCCATCGATCAGACTGACCTCCTCCAGAAGTGGATCCTCACCGCCGCCAAGGTGGGTGGAGCCATGACACACACACACACACACACACACACACACACACACACCCCCACACACACACCCCCACTCCCCTGCAGAACGCCCTGCCCTGCATGCATATAAACACAGACAAACCACAGCATAAATATAAACATTGTGTGTGTGTGTGTATGCGTGTGTGTGTGTGCGCGCACAGGGCCGTCACACGGAGTTGGTCAGTCTGACTCGGCCATTCTCTGGTGGTCTGGGCTTCAGCGTGGTCGGTCTGAATCCTGCAGGAAGCAGCAGTCAGGGAGTCTTCGTCAAACACATCCAGCCTGGAGGCATCGCACACAGGTTCAACTGATTAAATAATATGTTTGTTTCCTACATTGAAGATGAGCAGGAGGTCATCATGTGATCAAAGAGACGCAGAGATCTCAGCAGCATTAGTGCATTAGTCTTTTTTTATTGAATAAGAAATAAATAAATAGTAATAATAAAAACATTTACTCACCAAGTTAAGATCTGACCTCATTAAAAAGCAATGAAATTAACGTAAAAAGCACATTATAAACATAAGTTATTTAATTATTTAACATGGGCAGCAGTAATATAAAGTACAGAGGATTTATCCTGAATGAGCTGCGTGCAGACACAGATACAGTATTGTTCTTTAATCTGTACTTAAAGCAGCTATAGTAGATATTTTCATAATAACAGTGTATGAAATGACAAGGTGAAAACAGTGTTTAAAGGGAAAGGAGTGAGTAAAAGTGAGGAACTTAGAATATCACAAGTTCAACATTTCTACTCTATAACTTGAAGGTGATCATGTGTCAGTGTTGTGTTCACTAACAACAAGCGGGCAACAGCATCAGTTATTGCAGCTTTTGAAGTAAAAGAAACATAAAATCTAAACGGTGGAACAGTGTATGTATTTATTTTACCATTTAATGGAGACTGTATATAACTAGATGATTCGATTTTAGCCTCCCAACACATTGAATAATACATGGTAAAAGCTAACCAACTGGCTGCTAACTGTAAAATCAGTCATTGTGTTGAAAGAATCTGCCAAAGAATTAGTTCTGTATCATCTCATCGAGAAGTTGAGACTGATGTTGGGTTGTGTTTGCAGGGATGGGCGTCTCCAGGAGCGGGACCAGATCGTGGTGATAAACGGTAGTCCTCTGGAGCCGGGGATCAGCCAGCAGCAGGCCCTCACCCTCCTGCAGCAGCCTGGAGAAATGGTGGAGCTGGTGGTGGCGAGGGACCGCCCACCCAACGCAGCGTCACCCGTCATCACGGTGAGAAGTCTGATATTCACCACAAAAGACTACACTGCAATAGTGAAGACAAGCACAGATAAAAACATTAACTCACCAAAAATAAGAAGGAGAGTTCAGCTATTCAAATACTTGTAAAATTTTCATCTTCAACCTGAGCACAGTGAACTTCAGAAGCAGAGACACAGAATCTGGATCATTTTTACAGCTTTAATTTGTATTTTTCTAATTTCTGGAAAAAAAAAATGTAAAGGCTTCAACAGACCTGTAAGTGAACAGCATTCGAGCTGAAATGATTAGCTGATTATCCAATTAGACAATGGACATGGCACCTGATTGGATAATGAGGAATCATTTCAGTTATTTTTCAAGCAAAACTTATGGAAAAAAAATCAGAATGTTTTCTGGTTCACAGTGAACTGATTTTCTGCAGGTTTGGAACAAAACACAACATTTGAAATTGTAACTTTCAGCTTTTTTTTTGGAGGTTTCGTTCATTAAACAATTAATCAATTAATCTAAAAAAGAATCGTCAGGTGAGTAGATAATTGTTTGTTTCAGCCTTATTTTGCATTGTGGTTCCTTCAGGTTCACTCACAGATAAGAGATGAATTCACATTTGAGTTTTACTGTGAAGAGGCGGCTACATATCATTTATACTGAAATATTAACATTGGCAGTATTTGAAACAAACATGATGGAGCTATTTTTTTTAATTTGATGTTTGTAGGTTTTCTTTGCCACTGAACATGGAGTATGTGGTGGTGATGGTCGCTGAAAACAGCTATTTTTTGGACTTAAACAATGAATTGATTATCAAAATAGTTGCTATAGATAAATAGATTATTTTTCTGATGATTGATTAATTGACCAGTCGTTGCATCTCTTTCTCTCAGCTGTCAGTCTTTATGTTAAGTTAGGCTAATGTAGACATAAGATTGATATCCATATTAGAAAGACAGAAAGAAAGAAAGAAAGAAAGAAAGAAAGAAAGAAAGAAAGATTCCCAATAACACTGAACACATTTTAAATTAAAAATCATATTTTATATTGATCTATAGAAACATTACCACAACCTCATCTTCTTCTCAAGTGACCTCACATGGGTCCAGACTCCTAGGTTGAGAAACTCTGTACCAACTTTTCAGATCTCTAGTAAGTTAGCTTACTCAGCTGTTAGTGTACTCAGCTGTGTTAGCAGCAGCACAGCTCCAGATGGGAGCTACATGCCTGATACTGAAGTTTTAGTGTCAGTTGTTTGAGAGAAACAGGAAAACAAGTGAGGATCATGAAATCAATAGGTTTTACATTTTTTGCTTCCAGAAAAAAACAAAAAACAAAAAAACAACGTCAATCATTTGATGTCTGTAAAATGATAAGTTCAAACTCTGTTCCCTGACTTACATTTAGATAGATAGCTAGATAGATACTTTATTAATCCCCTAGGGGAAATTCAAGTCATTCAATGTCCATTAGCTCATTTATAATAATATTAATAATAATAATGATAACAGTTGATAATAAATAAACAATAATAATTAGATTAGTCCACTTCCTTTGGCTGAGGTGTTGTATAGCCTGATGGCAGTGGGAACAAAGGATCTCCTGAACCTCTCTGTTCTGCAGCGCAGTGAGATGAGACGTTTGCTGCAGCTGTAGCTGCTTCTCTGTCCTGCCAGAATGTTGTGGAGAGGATGGTTGGTATTGTCCAAGATGGCCTCCACCTTACATTGCATGCGTCTCTCCACAACAGTCCTGAGTGAGTCCAGACTCCTGCCAAGCACAGACCCAGCCTTTTTGACCAGCTTGTCCAGTCTCCTTGTGTTCATGTCGGACATGCTGCTGCCCCAGCAGCCTGCAGCATGAAAGATACACTGGCCACCACTGACTGATAAAACATGTGCAGCATTTCACTGCAGACGTCAAAGGACCTGAGCCTCCTGAGTAAAAAGAGCCGGCTCTGCCCCTTCAGGTAGATGGCATCTGTGTTCAGGAACCAGTCCAATTTACTGTCCAGGTGCACACCTAGGTATTTATAAGTGTGCACCACCTCAATGTCCTTCCCTTGAATGTAGATTGGCTGAAGGGTGGGCCTAGACCTCCCAAAGTCCATGACCATCTCCTTGGTCTTGGAGGTGTTCAGAAGGAGGCAGTTCTTGTCACTCCTTTCACTGAAGGCCATCGTCAGATCCCTGATCCTCTTCCTGCCCGTTCCTGATACGCACCACAATAGCTGTGTCATCCGAGTATTTCTGGATGTGGCAGGACTCAGAGTTGTATTTAAAGTCGGCCGTATACAGGGTGAACAGGAACGGAGCCAGAACAGTTCCCTGTGGAGCCCCAGTGCTGCTCATCACTGTCCCTGAGACACAGTTACCCAGCCTGACGTACTGTGGTCATCTTGTCAGGTAATCCACAATCCAGGACGTGAAGCAGGGATCCAATCCCATCCTTTCCAGCTTGTCTTTAAGGATGGGGGGGTTGGATTGTGTTAAATGCACTTGAGAAATCAAAGAACATAATCCTCATGTAACCACCTGGCTCATCCAAGTAAGAATGGGCTGGTGGAGCGTGTAAAGGACGGCATCATCCACTCCAATGTGTTCTTTGTAGGTGGTGTAGGGGGTCTAGTGCATGTTCAACCTGTGGCCTCAGAAGGTGGAGAAGCAGCTGCTCCAGGGTCTTCATGATGTGTGATGTGAGGGGTGAGGGTCTGTAGTCATTTATCTCAGCCGGTCGCCCTACTTTAGGTACAGGAACAAGACATAATGTTTTCTACTGGATCAGGACCCTCCCTGTTTGAAGGCTTAAGTTAAAGATCCTCTGGACAGGCTCAGCCAGCTGGGCTCCACAGTCCTTTAACAGCCTCGGACACACACCATCAGGGCCTGTTGCCTCTCCATGACGTAGCCTCTTGAGCTCCACCCTCACCTCCTACACTGTAAAGGACAGGAGACTTGACCCCAATGTGGAGGGAGTTGCAGCTGCAGTATCAGGTTGTGGAGGAGATGCTGTAGGAGAAGCTGCAGCTGAAGCAGTGGGAGAGAGAACAGGGGAGGCTGTGTCACACCTGTTGTAGAACAGGTTGAACTCATTGGCCTTGTCCACATCACCTGATGTTGCCTGGCTGTTCTTCTCTTTATAGCCAGTGATGGTCCTCATCCCCTTCCACACCTCTCTGGTGTTGTTGTGCTGCAGCTTCCTCTCTACTTTAATTTTGTAGTCCTCCTTCTCCTGCTTTAATCTCCTCTTCAGCTCATGTTGCTCACACCTGAGCTTCTCCCTGTCTCCATCCCTGAAGGCCTCCTCTTTCTGCTTGAGGAGGGTCTTGATGTTACTGGTGATCCAGGGTTTGTTGTTTGGGAAGCAGTGTACAGTTCTTGCTGGTATTACAGTGTCCATACAGAAGTTAATGTCGTCCGTGGTACATTCAACCATTCTATCAAGGTCAGGGTCTTTGCTGTTATCATTTTCCTGTGACTCCAAACATTATTTAACATCATTATTTGACACATGTTGAGCTTCAAAACTAAATGTCAGCTTTTCTCATTGTGTAACAAAACTTGACTGAAAGTTGAAGTCGACTCCTTAATTTCAGTCACAGTTTGCACATTTGCTCAGTATGAAATTATTTTTATTATTATTATAGGCCTGATCCTAAACCAGCAGCAGTGGAGAGGAGCATCGCTGAAATCAGCTTTATCCCTACTGTCTGTTCAGCCACACACACACACACACACACACACACACACACACATCATCCAGCAGCTTGGCTGTCACTCAAAACAAGCAGTGCTGAGAGGGCATCAATCACAGCTGGAGGTCACTTTGAGGCCACGCCTCTGTATCAGAGTGAGACCTCCTGTTTATGACAAGCCGTAAGTCTGCTGACATTGACTCAGATGATTTTTATGACCTTAAAGCCTATAGGAAATCAAGTTAGTGCTCCACTTGCAGCATCGCTCCTGACAATATGTATTTAAGTCTGAGAGGAGCCGCGATCAATGAATGTCGACATGACGGGGGAGTCAAAGCCCAGCAGTGTGGGAGGGGGGAGTGAACACGGGGGAGGCACAGATAAAGAGACAGTGACGTCACTAAGAAACTCACTCCATCGGCTCCATCCTAACTGAAGTGAAAGGTCAGAGGTCATACTGAGGAGTTCACCTGAGGTGTGTTTGGAAGATAGAGAGGGAAGGAAATGAAGATTCAATTAAACCAGAGTTTCCCAAACTGCCAAGCATTGTGGGTATTGGAAACAATAATAGATAACTGTCTTTTAAATCCAACATCTTAAATTAATGCCTTTTTATAATCAGATTCTAATGGATTAATAACATATTTAAACATTTTCAATGAGTAAAAAGTTTTGTACAAAATCCATTTACATGAAAATGTTTGGAACTTGACAGGTGGTGCCGGTGAAGACGTACCACTCCTGTGATGGAGCTCTGGGGCTTCGTTGTACAGCAGAGTTGGGAACAAACAGTATAGATGAGCCGGATCAGAGAAAAGCTAATGTATGCCTGAGCCATTGGCCTGAATACATGAGAGGATGTTGACATTTAAACAACAAAAGAAAAGATTTCAGTAAGAAAAACGATGCGGTGACAGACCAGAGCAGGTCTGGACTGTTAATATGAGCAGGGGATCACAGGTTAGCTGCAGCCGTAATGATTCTGCCCTGCTCTATTGTTGGGTCATTATCGCACAGAATTACACTGTCCCTCTTGTTTGTTACCCTCCTCCTCCTCCCGGCTCGTTGGATCAGGGCCACGTCCTGCATACCAGGCCTGCGATCCTCCTGCTTTTGTTTTATTCATGTCCCGTTTCTATCGAGGTCACGTTTAATGGAGCCCAGGGCATAAAAAACACAACTCTGGATGGGGTTTTATTGCTGCTCGCCCGGCCTGGCTAACTATCCGTCTCCCCAAGCCAAGACTCCTCTGCTGGGCAGATTCAGGCGACTCTGACCCGCCGTCACAGCTGATGTGTCGTCCTGGCGTCAAACGTCTCAGCTCTCATTTCTGCTGGAATAAGTCCAGCACTGACAGGAAACTCGTCACTGTAAAGTGTCTCATAAAGACAGGTATAAATCAGCCCGTCAGATATGATTTTATAGCTTTTGTCTATTTAGTGAATATTATCCCAGCATCGATTAGGACAGTGTGTCGGAGGAGTTTACTGTTAATTTATGGCTCTCCTAAAAATGATGAAAAGCAGAAAGAACAGGGATAAAAAATAACAGATTGTGTGATTAAAGAAACCTGAAGGGGCCTTTAAAACTGCCTCCACTCAGGAAATGAACTTAAGCAGAACTTATCTGGATGAAGTTGGTAAACTTTTCTGTGAACTCCCCTCAGCCATTTTAGCATTTTAAATTAAAGTCACATTACCCAGCCCCCTCAGTCGTAACATCAAGGTTGAGTCAGACTTGCATCTAAGTTAATCAGGTACATGCTCAAATAGAAACAACACATACATAAGTCAGTTTTTCATAAATGGCCCAATATCACAAATCTCAAATGTGTCTCAGGCTGCTTTACAATCTGTACAACATATAGCACATACAGGAAGAGTTACAGAGGAGGGATCCCTCTCCCAGGACGCATAGACAGGAAACAGATGTAGATTTACAGAACAGACGATCAGCACGACATTATAGACAGATTGTCGACATGAAGAAAATGATCATACAACATAGAGAAACTTCCAAACAGACCTGACCCACTCGACCTCCTCTCACCATGAGGCATGTCAGTTCACAGATGTGAGTGAAATTCCTCTCCATTACAATGATCTGAGGTCAGAGTCTGGAGCGCACAGACTCTGGAAAAAGATGGACATGTCCTCAGTGATGTCACCTGGATTAATGTGAGGGGAGTTTTTAAAGCTTGAAGTTTGCAGATTTCCATAGAAAATAATTGGTTTGGATGTTTTGACACATGTCACACAACGCTGGTGTGTCACTCCACTTCCTAACTTACACATGACTCCATCCACATCACAACACCACAATCACAAAGGCTGTTGCCTCTATTTTTTTTATTTATATTGACTTGATCAAAAGCACAGAAACATTTCAGTCTGAGGTGAAGTCAGAGAAACTGGACCAGTGGCTCCTTCGACATAAACTTCATGTTTACCAAGTAAACTCTGCCTCTCTACTTCCCTCTGTGTTCACTTCATTTCTCAGGCAGTATGCTAGCAGCTAACGCTGTAGCCTGAGGCTAACCAATCATCCAGGGGTCAAACTAATACACAGGGATCACACTTGATCCATAACACGTTTATGTTGCTATAAACTCTACAGAGAGCTGAGGTGAAACTTATTACACTTGAGTATTGATTTTAATATAGCCTCGATTAACTGTCTTTAATATTTTCACCACAAAAAGACACACACAGAGCTGTGAGAAGAGTAAATGGAGGCTCGGTATAGTTTCCACAGACGCTGAAGAAGCTCAGCACATTTACTTCCACAGACTGTGTGCAGTGACGGAGCCTCTACTGTGGAAAGACTGAACTTCTGCTGCAGAGCGAAGCATTCACCACTCTGAGTGTGATCTGACTTTATCAGGCAAGCAGCCTCCTGCAGCGTCCTGCGATCAGCTGAGGAGGAGGTTTGTTTCATTAGACAGAGAGAGACCTCCTCTATCAGATCAGAGCTGTAATAAGAGAGCAGAGCCACCTCTGATTACAGCTACTTCATAAAGACAGCCTGTGTGTGTCTGTGTGTGTGTGTGTGTGTGTGTGTGTTAGCAGGTTTGTGCTGCAGCCTTTCATTGATCAGCAGCTGGTATCAGGAGTAGGAGGAAATGCTCTCAGCTGGTAATTACCTGCTGAGGTTCACTTTAACGACCTTTCACCTCAGGACAGATAGTCGGCAGCTCAGTGAGTCTGCTGCTCTGCTACCAGCACAATGAAATAAAAATAATTAGAGCAGTTTTAAATTATGCTGGTTTGATCTGCATTGATCTGCCAAAAGAAAAAGCTGAATCAACTCATTCTGCTTCGCTCTGACTGAAGGAAAATACTTTCAATCAAATTAATTTTGATTCCTGAAATGCAGCTTATTAACTTTCAGCAAGTTGTTTTTTAAATGTTGTCTTGAATGTCAAACAGTTACCAATGTCTGTCCATACCTTGACCAAAATATAAGACAAAAAAGTTTTATTGTGTAATAGTTACAAAACATACATATATAATATATATAATATATATATTAATACTGTGAAAGTATCAAAGCCTCACCCACAGAGAAATGCACACAGCCTGTATTCAGAAACTGAGCCTTAAAACCAGCCGCCAGGACTTCTGGAACTTTGTGATGTCACAACAAAGCAGTCACTGCCCTCAGCCGTGCCACAAGCCCCGTGCACCTGGACCAGACTGGAAAACCGTCAGCCAATCAGAAGAGAGGATCAGAGCCTCCTCTCTTCTGATTGGATCACAAACCTGTTGTTACTAGAGCTCCAGGGAGAAGCCTGAGAGAGGAGATGTAAAACTACATTGAGATGGTTCTTGGTTTTTAAAACCACAAATATATGTTCTTATGGATCAACACTTGAAATAAAACACAGGAGCGCTTTATAAATACCTGCTTATCATTGTTGAGACTATATTGTGTTAATTCTTCTGCTTGACACTCTCAAACATTGATAAATCTGTGTCCTCCGTCCTCTGCTGCAGGATCAGTGGGGTCACGTGGAGGAGATCGAACTGTTGAACGATGGATCCGGTTTGGGCTTCGGCATTGTGGGAGGGAAGACGACTGGGGTGGTGGTCCGGACCCTCATCCCAAACAGTGTGGCTGATAAGGTAAGTCAGACTCAGCTGATGAAATTTATATCAAAATATAACAGAATAATAACATTAACTTGTTTTCTGCTGTTTCAACTGGTGATTGTTGTCTGTTAAACCCTGAAACTGAACCAATGACAAAAAATATTAAAGCCACAGAAACAGAATCTGTTTCATATAACAACATAAATTGGAAGAATAAGTGTTAATGTGTAATTTAAACCTTCATCTTGAACTTTGACCTTTAATCATATCATATTTAGACACCCTGACAGCAGCTGTGTTTCTAGTCCATTTTTCTGTTGTTTTCAAAGCTGAAGCTCCATCCATACTGTTGGGCATCATGTGATAGAATAGTCAGAAATCGGGTGGGGGTATGTAGTAACCCCCACCCCCCCACTGACATGGTAGGGGACCCAAACACATGCCACAATTGCTGTTTAATTTTTTAAATATTTTTTAAGTTTATGAAATAAAAAGTAACAGAGCTCTAACGTGTGTTTGCTGCTCGTGCTGGATTCACTTGTTTTGACTTCAAAAATCAACAAGAAGCCCAGTTTGTACTTAAGCAGAACAAGGTGATATAAAATATAAATAGCTTCCTCCATTTTGGACTCTGCAGCTCTCGTCTTAAAGGTCCTCACTGTCCAGACAGTTTGTAGTAGGTCAACACAGCTGGTTTTCATTTGAGCTCTACGTTACTTCACCCACTGATTGAAATGAAGTGATTTTACTTTTAAATACTGAGCCTTTAGTGGAGTTTCAGCCTCTCTGCTCAAACAGTGGTGTGTAATTAAGATCTCAGTACAGTGGTTATTATTCATGTTCACATTTTCAGAGAAATTTAAGGAGGAACGAATTTAAAACTGATGGAGGTTTTAAAAATTTTTGCACTGTCTCTGAACTCGGCACGCTGATTTGGTCCCTGCTTTCCCTTCACATCTGGGGCCCTTGAGCAAGGTCCCACAGCCCGGGCTTCCTCAGTGAATCAGCTGAAACCTGAGCTGTGGAAGCAGAAATCAGCCCAGTGGATGTTTCCTGGATAAATAACAGTTAAAACAGGAGCAGTACATTAGAGCAGACAACAGGCAGCTGCAGGAGAACTGAAGGAGGAATCATCACTTTGTAAGAGCATTAATCAGATCAATTAGATTAATTGGACAAGATGAATTTCTCTGCAGAGACGAGGGAAAAGCTTTGACTCCGGTCTTTCAACACACTTCCTGTCACTTTGTGCAGATACAAAACTTGAAGCTTGAGCCTCTGCACATCTCTGATGAACAGATACAGAAGCTTGTTTCCCTCCTCCTCCTCTCCTGCTCTCTTCATCCCTCTCTCATTCTTTTCTCATCCTCCTCTTATTCTTCTTCCTCTCACCTTTTCCTCTCATCTCTCCTCCATCTCGTTCCACTCTTCCATTTCTTCTTTTACCCTGTTTTCTATCTCTTCTTTTCTTTTCGATATCGTTTTATCTTTACTCTCCTTTTTTTTTTTACTTTGCTGCAGTATGTGTCAAATACTGACTGGAGTAATTTTCTTGTAGTTGACAATCAAATTCAGTTTGCTGTAAAAATGTTGTTTAAATTACCCTAAATCATAAGATAAAACTCAGTTGTCAAATGATAACAAATCTTCTAAAAGCTTGAAATAAATTTTAAGGAGGATGGAGTTACCGTGCTTAATGGTAAATTCAGTATAATGTATATTTCCAAAACTCAAATTGCGTCAGTAAAACGACAAAATCCTGTTAAACTCATTCAGCTGTTTTATTTGCAGCAGTAAATTAAAAAAAAAACAGTGAAGAGAAATGAGAAATCAGTGCAGACACCTGATAATTGTTGTGTTCACTTTTCTGTTTGAACTTTATTTTAACCCTATTTTCTTTTTAGAGAATGAAAGGTGACAAAGAAAAAGTTTATCAGGTTAAACTTCAGGAAATATTTCTCTTCTTATTTGAGAATTTGCACTTGAAGATTTTACTTTAAAGTTTGTAGAAGTGTGTGAATATAATTGTGTTATAAATGTGGGATTTGGGAAAACAGAAACTCACTGCACTAAATAAAACTAGCTATAAAGGTTTGTTTTAAATGTCATCCTGGCTCTCTGGTTCTCTTCCTGGCCGATCCAGGAACACAGGAAACTGATGTGAAGTAAAGAGTTAGGGCACCTCTGGGTTAATGACATAGTGTTGATTTTTGAAGTGAAACAAAGTGAATACACATTTACCTACAGCTGCTCAAACTGTTGTTAACCTTCCGATTTCCTCTTCTCCTTCAATCAGGATGGGCGTCTCCGCACAGGCGACCACATCCTTCGCATTGGGGCGACGCCCACCAGCGGCCTCAACAGCGACCAGGTCGTCAAGGTGCTGCAGGGGTGCGGGAGTCACGTGACCATGCTGATCGCCAGGGATCCCCAAGGTCAGAGGTCGACAGGTCCGCCTCCCCCACCTCCTCCAAATTCTGCCCCGGTCTCCTCCTTACCTCCCCGACCCCCTGAACTGCCCCTCCGCCCTGACGTGGGCCCCAAGCGCCGGCTCAGCAAGACGGTGAGCATCAGAGTGACCTTCATACAGTCGTCATTACAGCATCAGAAAAAACAGTTTAAAGGTTTTAAATCATTAAGAGAAAAAACAAACAGACTCATGACACTGAGAGTCTCTGTATCTTCACTGGAGAAGATGAAAGTGTCACTCATGTGCTGCTGGCTCTGGAGGCGGGACAGTCTCAGCTGAAACATGTCCTCTCTGTTTGTGTGTGTATTTCAGCCCAACTTGGAGGGATATGAGATCCACGAGGTTCCTCTGACCAAGAAGGACGGACAGAGCCTCGGCATCTCCATCATCGGCTACAACCCTCTGACCAGCCAAGGTAAAGACAAAGAAAACTTCCTGACCAGCCAAGTCAGGAGAGGAAGAAACACTGATGAAGACTCATTCACTCAAACAATGAAAACGCAGTTAAACCCACAGGAAACTGAAACTAAGAACATAGAAAACTTTCTGACCAGCCAAGATTGGTCAGGAAAGCACATTCAAACACATCATTAGAAATACACAGGAAACACTGTTAACCACACATTTACAACTCCCAACTTAAACTTTTCAGGGGCAAAAAATGATTGGCAATAATCCTTCAACTCTACCTCAAACACATCTCTGTTTACTTCACAGTAAAAGCCTCAAGCAACCTGTAGAGGGTTTTGCTACTTGGCTTTTACTGTGAAACAGCTGCAAAGCTTCTCTGTACTGTTTATTTTGAAGCAGCTTTAGGGCTTTTACTGAGAAAAGCTATTATATTTTTCAGTGCTTTTGTTGTTTAGAAGAGGATGTTAAGGAAATTATAGAAATTATTCCATAATTATTCCTTCACAGCCTGTTCTTGTTATTTTTGTTAGTTTGTTTTGAAAAGTTTAATATGAGTGACAGTGATAATCTATTCATCTTCAGGGTCCCAGAACTCATCATTGCAATATCCAATATCCAATATCCATCTCTCTCTCTCTCCCTCTCTTTCTGTCTGTCACTGTGTCTTTGTCTCTTGTCCTGTTCAGATGCAGTAGGTGTGTTTGTGAAACATGTAGTACCAGGCAGCGCTGCAGATCACAGCGGAAACATCCGAGTCCACGACCGACTGATAGCTGTAAGTGTGTGTGTATGTGTGTGTGTGTGTGCGCGTGCGCACGTGTGTGTGTGTTACCTTTGACCCAGCTGGACGTCTGCATTTCTCCGTCTTAAACCTGATTTTAAAAAAAAAGCCTTTTCTCCTACATCCAACATTTACTGTTACAAAATTTACAAACTTCTTTTTAAACTTTCACTGCACATTTCATAAACCATGTCACTAACTTTAAATGTAGATAAATTACAGTCCAACCTGTGACATCTGTCTTCTATCTTTCCCCTGTTGTTTCTTCTCTTCGTCTCCCCTTTCTTTATGTTGCTTGCTATTATTTGTCTCTTCCTCTCTCTTTCTCCCTCCCTCCCTGTCTCTCTCTCTGTCCTTCTCTCCGTCTCAACAGTTGGACGGCTTCAGTCTTCACGGTATGACCAATCAGGAGGTGCTGGAGGTGATGAAACAGACGGGTCAGACCGTGGTCCTCACTGTGGTCAGGAAGAAACCCAGAGTCCTGGAGAGATCCCTGGATAAAGGTCAGTCAATCAGTCATGAACCCTACAATGTCGAATCTGAACAGTGACTGACTGAGGTTTCTGAGTAGGTACAGAGAGAAACAGACACAAGGAGAATTTGCGCTAAATGTTAGTTTTTACTGTGTTTTACATTTAAAGTTCGATCACAGTGAAACAAGAATTGTACTGAGGTCCCCCAGTCATAGTCCGACCTGGGACCTTTGTTGCATGTCATACCCGTCTCACCATCTACCCCCCAGTGTTGCCTGTTCTTCACTGTTAACCATCAAATAAAGACAAAACACAGAAAAAAAATCTTTAAAAGATAAGAGAATTTAAGACGAGGCCTGAAGATGAGGTACTAACAGAGCAGGTGTCAGTTCAGAGCATATTGTGCTGTAGTGGTGGATACGGTCCCAATAAACAGACAGTAAAATTACCACAAACTAATTGCAGCACGGTGAACCTGGAGGTTTGTGGCTCAGAACACATCCACTCTCGGCCCCAAGAGAAAACCCAGTCGCTACTCAAGATTGAGCTGAAGTGTTGGAGCTGCAGATCAACTGAATGTCTTTGTCCTTCTTAGAGCCACATGGCCATCATGGTGATAAATGACCAAACACAGTTCATCTTGAAATACCAACATCCTGACTGCTGACTCTCTTCACTGTGATGTTGATGGACCCTTTAATCCCATAATGCAACAGGTTGCACAGAACGAGGAGCTCCTCAGATCTATGACGAAAATCAGTAAATTAATTAATTATAATACTGAGTTCATCTTTATTATTACTGTTATAGATAAAGGAAAAGGATGATTCAGAGATTTTAACATGGAAAGTCGTTCACAGTATATCGACTGTTTCATGATCGTTTGTGTGATTAAAAGATTAAAAAAAGATTTAAAATTAAACAGTGAAAAAATAATTGAATAGTTATTAAACTGACATTGACAGGTTGGTATTGTGTACACTACAGATTCATCTTTTACAGATGCACATATCTTAGGCTAAGATGTGCTGAAGTGACTTTCTGTGGGTTTATGTTGCACTAAGTTCATGATTAGATGGTTTTAAAGCAGTAATCCTCTGCTGTGAGAGAAGTTACCTCTGTGTTAAACTTATCAGAGCTTTTGTTCCTATTTCCTGTCTGAACCTTCCCTGCCTCTGTCCTCTCACCCAGATTAAGATGACAAATTTGTTTACAACTCAGTGTAATTTTCAAACTCTCCACAGAAAGCTGCGTTTCCTCCTCCTCCAGCATCCAGAGAGATTAATTCTCCCGGTTCAGGGTCATTTTTTTGTCTTGCGATCGGCCAGCGGCCTGCACTGGTCAGCCTCCAGGCCAGAGAGAAACAAGTGATTTTAAAAAAAAATAAAAAAAGAAGAGGAGTGTAGGGCTCTTATCTCCTCCAGACGTTTTTTATTTCATTACTGAGGAAACACAGAGAACTGGAAACACAGCTGAGTTCAGCCTCAAGTTTTTAACTTCTTCTCTTCTGGTCATTTCTGTGACTCTCTTATCTACAAAGACTTATGATGAGTTAGAACGAGGAAAATAAACTTTCATAGATCAAAAAGAGTGATGATCAGTTAGGAGGTCGAAGGTCAGAGCAGCCTCAGTGTGTTTACATGTAGTTAAGTGGGACATAGAAATACAGAGTCCAGATTTCCACCAACCTAAGAAATTATCAACTGATCACCAAAAATCTACGCTCAGACAAAAGAGTTCATGAGTTCGCATTTTATTTCCTTAAATCTTTGTATTTCTATCTTTAAAGCTCATTCAGGGGCCCTGGAGCACACTTTCACTTTCACAGTCACTCCTGGAAAGACTTTCATGACATGAATGCTAGAAATAGAGGAAACTGAAATAAAAATGCATATTTGCATATCCTTATGTCTGCTCTTTGTGTGTATGTCAGTGGAGAGGGAGCCGTCTCACGTGTCACTGCGGAGGTCGTTGAAGGTGAACACTCGCTCCTCTGGGTTTGGCTCCTCAATGATGAAGCTGGAGCCAATCTACCCTAACACCAGTAGCAGGGGTGAGGCCACATACTCATACAGCGCAGAAGGTGAGTATTTGTTCTTCAGGCTACAGTAACATTAAAGTCTCAGCTTTAATTTGAGCAGGTTCACATCAGTGTAGCAAGAACCGTGTGGGAGATAGAGCTCTGTAACACATAGAGACCAAATTACAGAGGTTTAAAAGTAATTGGGCACTCATTTACTAAATGTTTGTGTTGTTTCAACATTAGTTCACACACAAAGAGAGTTTCCATTTAGATGGAGGTGGAGTTGTCTGTCAATATGAGCAGTGAAGAAGAGTTGTGTTACCTTTTGTTGTGAAGTAGATTAACTGCCGCAGTTATAAATGAATATTTATAAGGTACAATTCCTCTGCCAAGACTTTTAGGAGTTTTGCTCAGTTGTAGCTTTTTATTTTTATATTATTTTTATTTATTCAACTTAACTTCAACAATTTGTTTCTTATTATTTACTTAGAAAACTGAGAAATATTCAACATTTCTTAACAAGACTGAACTGTGACATTTATCTACAGTCGTGTAAATCTGGATGAGGATTCATGGAATAAGCAGAAACTCTGTCCTTAAATCTACGACCGTGATTATAAGTGTGCAAAAACCCTCCTGCAGACATGTCAACACAGGCCTTTAACAGCCTCCCCTCTGAATTATGTCCTCTCTTTTTATTCCTCATTAGCTTTACTAAGTGGCCAAAACGCCACGCTAACACTTAGCATGCCGCTCGCCTGCTCTCAGCCAACAAATGTACAGGGTCTGAGCTGCCTGACAGTCCGGCAGCGATGTATTACCCTGTTTATTCAGTCAAACGCTGCAGATTAATTGCGCTGTGAAGGCTGAGGTTAGCAATGTTAATTTAATCAGAGGCTGTTGCTGTAACGCAACCAGACCTGCTGTAGAATACCTCCACATGTGGAGAGATTTGTGAATCATGGAGGTGGAGGATCCTGCTTCAAACCAGCCCGCAGGACGATCGGTCTGTGATCTGATCTGACTGTCAGGGTTTCACTCTGCTCTGGAAGACCATTTTATTCTTCTGGGATTTAAGGATGTATTGTTGCTGAGACATTTTTTGAGTGTGTGTGAAAATGCATTAAACACACACACACGCACACACACACAAATCCACAGTCTCCATGGTTGAAGTTGCTTACTTTACAGTTTAGATTTGAGTCATTTAGCTTTTTGCTTCTGACCAGTGAATTCCAATGAGGAGACCGTCATCCTGGATCAGAGAAGGAGTGAAAAATGTTTTTACTGCAGCAGAACCAGAGAACAGGTTAAATACATTACTGTTAGTACTCGTTGTCCCTTTGCAGTGTGGCTGGCCCTTTGGCTGCAGCACTACCATACTACTACAACATCTCAACCTTTGACCCCTACCCACATCGCTGGTCCTGAATCCCACAATGTCTTAACAAACAATTAATTTGTGTCTCATAGAAAATAAATAGGGGTGAACTTCTCTGGTTCTGCATGCTTAGTCCCTCTATCACTTCATTTCCAGCAGGAATGAAATGTTAATGAGAAACTCTGATCAGCATTAGGGAAACCTGATTTCTCAACTGTACCTACAGGTGACACTGTAAGTACAATATTCTTCTAAAATGACACTGTGTTGTAAAGATACATTATCATCTGTCATTATGTGTCATGTCTTCTCTCCAAGTAGGTCCATACATGGCACCACTGTACTACTGCAGCACTACCTGTTCATTTGCATCACTTACAGTACAGAGTGGTGTTACAGAGCTGCAGGAACCTGCTCTGTTTTAACGGCTGAATTGTAATTATGTATCTGTTCCACTGCTTATACAGGCTGTTTTCAATCTGTGTGTGTGTGTGTATGTGTGTGTGTGTGTGTGTGTGTACAGCTACAGAGGCAGAACTGAGGGCTAAATGGGATCAAGCTCTGGGGCCACTGTATGAAGTCCTGGTGAGACTATACACATGAACACACGCACACACACACACACACACACAAATAAATCAATCTTGGATTACTGATGAAGTGTGAGACTATATGATGTACATTGCTGTGCAAAGGTTTTAGGAACTTGTGAAAAAATGAAAGTAAAGAGAGAAAAGCCAAATTGGTCAGATCAGGCAGGTAGGCTGTTCCAGCATGTTGGAGAACCTGCCTCAGGTCTTCAGACTCTTCATTTGATCCAGACTGACTTCATGATGCTGAGATCAGGACTCTTTGGGGACCAGACCCTCCTGCTGCAGGACTCCTGGTTCTTCTGGTCTCTGAAGATAGTTCTTTAGGAGTGTGGATGTGTGTTTGGACTTATTGTGCTTCTGCAGAAACCTTTACTGTGCGTGTGCGTGTATGTGTGTGTTTTCAGGTGGTGAAGTTGGATCCTGTCATTGAAGATGATGCAGAGCTGCAGAAATCCTGCAAGGTGAGAAACGTTCTCTTTCCAGCTCTGTTAGTTTCCAGTCAAACACAGTTCAATAGCAGCAGCAGCCATCCTCTAAAATGATCACATAGTTGAATCAACACTTCTCTAAAACAGCTTCAACAAAAACTGAACATTAACCTTCATGAGGGGAGGATTCTGTTGGATTAGAATACATTCATCTGTATCTAATCCTGTTATCTTGTATCGCCGCTCACAGCTGTTACCCGTCCACACGCTGAGACTCGGGGTCGAGTTGGACTCGTTCGATGGTCACCATTACATCTCCTCTGTGGCCCCTGGAGGCCCTGTGGATAAACACGGAGTCTTGAGACCAGAGGACGAGCTTCTGGAGGTAAATACATGTACGCACACAAACAACAACAACAAAAAACAACAAAGCAAAAAAATCTCCTGTAACACCTCCATAGAAAAGACATGTAGAAACTAGATTTATTGTAGACGAAGAATATTCATTGTTGCCTCTTATAGCATTAGCAACTTCACATTAGCATGTGAGTTTGGAGAGCAAGAGTTGTAACAAAGCTCAAACATGACAGTCAGTACCAACAGGTTTTAGTCAATAAACAGCTTCTATACAAACTGCTGTTAAAACTACAATGTCTCCACAACAACAGAGCTGTTGTAAAGTGTGATTTTCTCTTTGAGGTAGGTAGGCTAGCGGTTTGAGGTCTCTCTGGTTGTACTCTCTCAATTCTAACTCCACTACTTTTTGGTGTTTACATTTTACCACTAGGGGTCGCTAATATTCATCTCCACTGTTAAACTAATGTCCCCAAACCCTTTATAGTTATTGATCCTGATTATCTTTACTGCCTTGAAGCAGGGGGATATGGCCAAAAAAATAAAATCAAGTTTGGTGAATCCTGTGGCTGCAGGTCCTGCAGCTGGAAATAAAATCTTGTCATCAAATGCAAACAAAGAGCTCATATCAGGGTAAAGAGTCTTTTTCAGTCCTTTAATCACTAGATCACTAGAATAGCTACCAGATGGTCATCTTAACTCATAATAGTCCTGTTATAGCGAACCCCAGCCGGAATGATGGTGAAGCGTACAGATGTATTATAAGCCTTTATTTATGTTCGGCCATCATCCTTAATTTTGAACACAAATTTTTCTGTACTTCTCCTTTCTTCCTTTACACCGTAAGAGCTGATGGACAGATAGATAAATAAAATAAGCTCTTACAACACAAATAAAATAACCTGTATTCCTTATGACCTTACATATGAGAATTAGTCCAAAATTTCACATAACATAACATTTGCAATAAACATAAAAGAGGACTCAAAAGGCTTTTATAGCTCAACAGCTCCACCATGTGGCCCAATACACATACAGAGGCTAATGTTAGCATGGTAACGCATTAAACATTTCTCCACAGTAAATATAAAACAAGGAGGCACACATAGCTTCACCTAAACACATTATTTACACACTCCCTTCCAGCTAGGCACTTAAACATCTGAAGGTATCCCTTTGTAAAAGAGCTGTAGTTCGTGACCGTACCGTCTACCGTATACTCAGAACTGACGTGAAGAAAACTTATTTACAAAGATGGGTACAGCTACTTCCGCCCGAAGAGCACCAAAATAAAAGCATACAGGAAGTGAACACTTTATTGATAGAAACCCTCTTAAAAGTTACTTACACCTGTAATCTGCAGTAGGTGCACACATACTATGCTGTATACTATACTCATATACTCGTCTACAGGACTTTTCGTTAGTCAAAATTAAGGCGGAACGATATGCAACAAAAATCATGTTACCAATGTTTTGGCAGATATTGAGATTGTATTGTGATATGAGTCATGATCTCAGTTGGAATGATTTGTATTGCATTTTTAAAAATTATGAGTTTTGTTGGTCTTGCACCAAATAAATATGTTCCTTTATGTCTGGAGAATGTGATTTGTAGTCCTGGGGCGTCTCTGTAGCAACACAACACTTCTGGTGCTAACAATACACAACAATGTGACACATTTTACTTTTATCAAAGAAATTGCTGTGATTTAGATATTGCACTTGGCCATATTGTGGTTTCGATTAATTGTGCAGCTGTAGTCAAAACAGCTCATTTAGTCAGCTATCATCCTGGTATTTTTGCTCATAAATTGCCTTTTTGTGCATGTTGTAATAATAAACACTGGATTAACCCCAACTTCCTTCAGTTGAATCAGGAAAAGGTTAAAACATTGTAGTTTTCTGTTTCTGTTTCCTCTGTGAAAGAAACCATTGACACTAATCACAGTTCATTAGTTGTGTAGACCTCTGAATTTTATGAGTCTGTATCGTAGGTAATGAGGTGTTTTATTTTTAAGTAAAAATCATATGTAGTTTGGTGTGTGTGTGTGTGTGTGTGTAGGTGAATGATGTTCAACTCTACGGAAAGTCTCGTCGAGAAGTGGTGTCGTTCCTCAAAGAAGTGCCTCCTCCGTTCACTCTGGTCTGCTGCCGACACCCAACCACCGACCTGGGACCAGGTCCAGAGTCTGAACCAGAGTCTGAACCTGACCCCGTGTTACAACCAGGATGTGGGCCAGTGAGACAGTCACAGCCCAGTGTGGAGGAGGTGAAAGCATTAGAGATCTCAGCGTCAATGAGAATGTTTTTCTGATGTTGATAATTCATGTGACAAATGTCTGAAAAATCATTGACAATGAATTTCATTCCTCTACAAAAAACAAAACACCTCAGATTGAGCTGAAGCTGTCGTCGATGCTCTGCAGTCAGACAGTCCTGAGAGACAACAGCAGCGACCAGCAGCAGGCAGTTAGACAGGTAACACGTCAAATTTGACATTGATAAATTACATTTATGACTATTCAGGGATTTTCTTCAGAGTTCAAATTTGTGCTGTGAAGTTTTGTCAACACAGACACACAAGAGCATCCTAATTGAAAGGAAAGCCTTTGGGTTACTTAGAGATATTGATTTTGAATTTGAGATGTAAAACCACTGTTACTGGATGGATTGAGTGACTGATGAAAACTAATTCTGCGATAATTCTGTGATATCCTCATACTAGAAAATATAATGAGTAGCAGGGATACATTCCAATAGAAAAAAAATATAATAGTAATGATTGTAAAAATAACAATAAATATAGTAATAATATTAAAAATGATGCATACAAGATTGTAATGATACAATTTTCTTTTGAATATTTACATTTACTTTAATCCTGTGTCAGGAGCAGGTGTCCCCTGTGGCGGAGGTGCTGAAGGAGGAGAAGATTCAACACAGCCGGGAGGAGGAAGAAGATGAGGAGCAGGATCAAGATGAGGATGAAGAAGAAGATGAAGATGAAGGGGAGCTGGCTCTGTGGTCGCCAGATGTTCAGGTGTTGGAGCTGCAGAAGGAGAGAGACAAAGGCCTCGGCTTCAGCATCCTTGACTACCAGGTAATAACAACAATGTGCTTCTCCTCTTCTTTCTCCTACTATTCCTGTCCACTCCTCTCATCTTCCTCCTCTTTTCATTAATGATAATTAGCTTTTAAATTTCAGACAAAACAATGTCGCATCATACAATACAAGACATACAACTCTCAGTAACTCTTATTTTGAAGAGTGTCGACTGGATGAGGTTTAGATGAGTTGTTGCTTAATCAATTAGTAGATTGGCAGAAAATAAAGTGGTGATAATTGATATTTTGTGTTTTTGTGGTGATACATGACAGAAAACTGAATATCTTTGGGTTTTCTGGTGAGTGGTGAACAAAACAGACATTTGAAGATGTCACTGCGGTGATGTGGGAAATTTACAAAGAGAAATTTGAATTATTCTGACATTTTGTAGAAAATCAATCAAGATCAGCTGATTATTAGAATTAGTTGCCGGACTGGAGGGAACTTGGGTCTGGATGAGGTCTTAGATGTTGGCCCTTATTCTTCAGGCCTCACTGATGACCATGAAGGACTCGCTCACACCCGTTCTATCTTTTCTGTGTCGCCAATGAAATGAAGCATAAAACAAAGTATAAATTCTGTAACACCAAGCCTGAAATATTTGTCTGTTGTCTGAAATTTTATAAAATCATGTTTAGTGTTTGATGAGGAAAGATGCAAAAAAAAAAGCTGAAAAAAATAGCTGGTTGAGTCCTAATATTTTCTAAAGGTGTTTTAGTCATGACTCATGAACAGTACGTATGATAGTGGTTGTTGTTTAGTTTATACATCATCACCTTCATTGGTGTTTGTCTTCGTCCAAGTTCTGTTGGGTCCAGATGATGTCGTAGTTAAGTCGTCTTTAATTGTTAGTGCTGTGAGTGCTGCCAGTTGCTGTCAGTTCAGTTAGTAGATGTTGACCTGAACTGAAGCTACAGTCATGAAATATAATGTATTTACAGTGTTAGAAAAAGCACCTCTGCTCTTTAAATTCTTTAATGCTGTTAGCAGAAGAGAGGTGTTCCACCTCCATTATAAAACTATACAGAACTGTTGAGCTGGATGTACAACAATGCTGTGGAAAACACACAAGCGTACTCGACCAGTCAGTGGCGTTCAGTGCTGCAAGCCCCACCCTGAAAATCTCAGAACCCTTTGGTTGGACTGGATCAGAGGGGCCGGCCCTGTGAACATGAATTGTCTGTGACTGACTGAGGGAGTGAGTGATGGAGTTGCGTGATCAAGTTACACAATTGGTTGGCAGATTGTTGGACTCCTCCTATTTGCTGTTGCTCTTTCAAAATGATTTGGTGTGAACAGTTTGAACAGTTTCTGTTACATCATCAGGGGGTGTTTACAACAAATGGATCCACAACAGTTTTCAACAACTGTATTTCCTTAAAAAAAAGTGGGTGGGGCCATTATTTACCTGCAGAATGTAACAGGTCTTAATGTCTAACTCCCTCTGTTTGATATGTAGAATTGGTCACAACTGTATTTTAGTACGAAGCCTTGTTTTGATCAACATTACATCCGTTAATACAAACTCAACACTTCCTTTAACTGTTTCAAATTAAAAGCCCTCTGGCGTTTCAGTGGGCAGAAACCCTTTATGTCTTAACAGGGCTTTTATTGCTGTGCTACAGTACGTGTATTGCCTCATTTCAAGTTGCTGGTGTTTCTCTTGTTTACATGTTATTCAGATCTGCGAGTTTCTTTAACAGTTACTGATGACTTCTCTTCCTCCCTCTCTCCTGCTCTCTCTGCTTGGTGTGTCTTATGTTTAGTTATTCCTCTGCCTCCTTTAGTAACAATGATACATGGAATGAAAATAGTTTATTTGCCGTAATGTAGGCTATGCTCCAGTTCCCTGCAGCTCCAGAGCAGTCAGGAAACCAGGATGACTGGGTGACTCCCCGTGTCAAGAGATGAATCCATAAACCCAGAGATTGCACCCATACATGGTGCAGCCATATATGAGGTTTATACCCAGTCTTGTTTGGGGGTAAAACTCTGAGCTCCTCAAAAGGTTCCTGTTCTTAGGGAAAGTTCCTGTGGTGGAAACGCACCTCATGTCTGTACAAAACTTCATGGCCATACCTGTTGATATTTTCAGTCTGGAGCAAAGCGGGTGTCCAGACTAAAGTCTAGATGAGCGTGTTTTCTGCATTTATAAAATGAGTGTCGTCGTGCCTCCATGTGTGCGTGTTACACACAGAAACACACCCACACAGAGTTAATTACCTCCCTGTGGTGGTTTCCTGCTGAGCACACGGTGAAGCTGGTATGACTCTGCATGGCTCAGCTCACCACTCTGTGGTTCGCTGATGGAAAATAAACAGCAAACCGTGTGTACAGAAAGTGCAGTGAGGTTTGTGAGTGTAAGAGCGGACAGCAGGACAGAGAGTGACTCATCTGCTCACAGACCAGCAGGATCTGTTCTGTTTGTCTGCTGCTCTCAGTGTTACACAGCTTCTGTCAAAACATGACACAGCTTCATGTTTTCTAGCTTTGAAAACCCTGCTGTTGTTTTTGCTTGATTTTACTCCATTTAATACAAACATATGCTTTCTCTTCCACTCATCATTTTCCAAATCACACCAACAGTTTTCCTCCCAACCAGCAGAGAAGAATCAGACCTGATACTTTCTGCAGAGAGAGAATCAATCACAGTCAACATTTAGTCAAGTTCTTTGTCAAAGTTAAGTTTTCCTCAGTTTTCCCAGTGAATCAGTTGAAAGAATGGATGCATTTGAATAGTCAGTAATTATGATGGGTTCAGTTGTTGAGTGACACTCTGACGTCAGTATTGTGTGTAAAGAACAGATCGGATGAGGTGAAATGAACCTTTATTGACTCCTGTGGGGGAAATTCAGTTTGACACAGCAGCACAATAGAATGTAGTAACAGCAAAGAAAGACATTTCCATACATACCTGTACACCAGAAACAAGTAAAGGAATAAAATAAGACAGGAATAATAGATAAAATAAGATAGATCTGTGAGCATAAACACGTGTGATCTTTGTGTGTCTATGCTATAGAAGGATTTTTGTAAATCCTAAGTCTAAAGCGCAGCGCTACTGTCATGAACCAGCTCAAAATTCACAACAAACCAAGGGAGACCACATAAATAATTAAAGTTTAGAGCAAATCAAATTTATTTTAACTAATAATAAGCAAAACACAGGTTAAAGGTGAAACATGTATATCGGTAAGATCAGTGGTGGGGTGAGTGCATGAATGCGTCAAAGTGTAAAATATGTAATCAATAAAGTGATAAAATAAAGCTTTGTAGGAGGAGAGTGAGAGAGATCGAGAGAGAGAGAGAACTGGTTTCTCTATCCCCTCTATAACCCTCAGGGGAAGTGGGTTCAGGTCTGGCTCTACCCTCCTGACACACCTCTTCCCTCTGACAGCCTCCTAAACAGGAAGGAAAAGAAAGAAAAGGGAAAAACACCAGGAGCCACAAGCAGAGTGGGAGGGGTTGTCACAGCTACGACTCGGGATCAGAGTCAGTGTGAGTCCATGTGGTGTTCCCTGATGCTCAGTATGGGGTGGCAGAGACTGTCAGACTTGGTCCACCCTCATGCTGTAGCTGTATGTACATGTGCACATACATGTCTTCTCTGTCACTGTCTCCACACTGTCCAGTCCTATCACCACCATACAGCTGGCCTTCCTCACCAGCTTTCCCAGTTTGTTTGCAACATAAAATCTGAGTGCCCCCCCCCCCCCCCCAGCAGACTGCTACAGACTGGTTACAGCCTAGTGCCTCCTCAGAGAGAAAACAGCCTGCTCTGTCCCTTCATGTCCAGAGCCTCGTGTAGTCTGACCAGTAACTAGGTCTGTGATGTGATGAGCTGCTGGTGCCAGAGGTATTTTCCTCCAAAGTTTCATTTAAAAGTTTTCTTTCAATTATCTGATCATTGTTCAACAACATATATGCACAGTAGTCTCCTGGATAATGTGACCGTCTTATCAGCTTGTGTTCTGACCACCAGTTTGAATTATTTACTCTCTCTGAGAAATCAAGGCTTTTTCTGACAGCTTTAAATACTGCAGTACCTAGATGAGATGTTTCATGTTAGTTATTGGGATTTAGTGCTGTTGGTGGTTGTATTTTAAACTTTGGACAGAGCCACTAAGCTGTTGATGAGATTGATATCTCGACATGCCATCATCAGAAAGACAGAGAATAAGTGTATTTCACAAAATGTTGACCTGTTTCTTTAAAGCTTAATCAGTTAAATCAGCTCGTTCTGAACCAAACATCTTCTGGTTTGTGAGTGGGAGTCTCAGACTTCATCACTGTCTAGGGAATGAATTTGGGAAACCCTGCTCTGCTGTGTTTTCTCCCCCCATCCATCCACTTTATCTCTAGGCACAGCTTCACCTCCAAGACCTCCTCCTCCTCCTCCTCAGTCAGATCCAGCTGAGGCAGTGGAGGGAGCTGCAGGTTAACTCCCTGTTGGTCCACATCCATGTCAGACTGCACATACAGTATCAGCCCAGGGGGCCTGTGTGTGTGTGTGTGTGTGTGTGTGTGTGTGTGTGTGTGTGTGTGTGTGTGTGTGTGTGTGTGTGTGTGTGTCGGTGTGTGGTGGTGTGTGCGCGCGCGTGCGTGTGTGGTGAAATCATTATCTTGTATTTTTCAACATTTGAACTTCATGATATGAAATGAGAAATTATCTTTTAATGTTCGTTTACATGTAATATGATGGAATAAGATGGCTGATCCTGTGTGTGTGTGTGTGTTTCAGTTGTAACAAACACACACACACAACTTTAAACAGTTGTTTAAAGTTTAAAACAGTAGTTCACCTTCAGTATCAGTCAGTGTTGGTGTCTCTGCACCCAGTCTCATGTTTACACACACGTACTGACTTCCTGTAGGTGTTCATAGTTATTGCTAATAGTTAATACTGCTCAGTGTTAATACTGTCCAGTGTGTCCCTTTATTTCGTAACATTCATGAACTGAATTTGAGTCAGTGGGATTTTTTGGTTCTTTCAC